TTTATAACATATTATGGTATTACTGAAAAATGAAGTTTGTCTATCTTTATGAGTAGGATCTTCTTGTTTTCTAATTTCGTGGTCTAATAGTTTCGTTCTGACAAATTCTAAAGACAAGTTACTATTTACAGTTTCTAAAGCAGTTATGACGCTATCACGAAACGTGTCACAAGAAAAGGGCGGCAATTTTAAAAATTCTTAAGCAGTAAACACTGAATGTAGTACTGCAAAATAATTTTGATACTTTTATTAATTATATTTAATCTTAACATTTAGATATCAATTAAAATTATTTGTTTTGGAACATTTGACTAAAGCGTGACTGTTCTTAATTGTACAGTTAACAGCATATCAGTAGGCCTATTCACTAACTCAACTGACAACCAAGAATCGTCATCACCGTAAAAATTAGACACTTTGATTGTGTCAAAATCACTATTTCGTATTCTCTATCAATGATGAGCAATTTCGAAATGTCAATATCGGCATTCTCCACTGGACTCCATTTTGACACTTGATTTCGTATCGATAAACTGTATTAAAGTAACATTGTTGCAAAGCATATTTGAAGTCGTCGCATAGTACCTCTTAAGCCATTTGTTGTTAAATTAAAGCGAAAAAAAATACGTATCCAATATTTTTCTATTATCTGACTGACGGACTAAATCGAATCTTTTTTTTAACCCATTCGTTATACCTATTGGCTAACAGCACTTATAATATTAAAAATTCATATTTGTCATTAATTAAAAGGGTGTTTTTTGCAACGACTTCTTTGTTTTTTTGTAATGAATATGGGCGACTCTGGCCACATTTTTTTAATAAATGTGATGTTAGCCAATTTTGATTTCTGGCCCTTATATTTATAATGTGTTCATAACACATACATGTCTCCTAAGGGATTTTCATCACAACCTTTTGCTCTGATCCAGAACCACTATCTATCAAATTAAATTAGTCAATATAAACACCAGATTACAATAAAAAAAACATTTATTTTTGTTACAATTAAGTGCCATGGATAAATTACATAATACAGGTGTCACAAAATCATCATGTTAATCACAATAGAAAATTTAAGATAAGATTTTGACTATGAATCAGACTAAAAATACTTTAGTCTGATTCATAGTCAAAATCTGTTTCTAAATATTCTACACCTGATAACAATGACAAGGAATCATCAGAGTCACTCTCTTCACTACTGTCTGCACCAACAGATATAATAAATTTTTCAAGTTCGTTTTCAACAATGCCATCTTTTAATTTGTAATCATTTTCGACATTTAAAACATGATCAGTGTATTTCTTCCAGTCACTAGGGGTAATTAAGTTAAAACACTCTATTATTAAGTTTTCCATTTCCTTTCCTGGTATTCCAATGTTTCTGCTTGTTCACGTTCATTTTCATTGCTTTTAAAAGAAAATCCATTCTTAAGCATAATTTTTCGTAAAGTCTCACGGCTACCACTGAATCCTATTGCATCTTTTAATTCATTGTGAAGGCTTCTTAATGTTGGAACAATTTTTTTCACACAGTAAAATTCATTTACTTTATTCCGAATTGCACTTAAATCAAAATTATCTAAAGCAGACACTGTTGGTTGATGAGGTCGTTTTTTCCCAGGAGTGTCCCATTTTCCTTTATTAATTAATGCTTCATTTTTTATCCTTCTTAGTGTCCTTATACTTACATCTATAAAAGATTAAACACTTTGAAACAAAGATATGTTAAATGTATTTAAAAGCAAATAATGATAGACACATACATCAAAATAATTTAAATACCTATTCAACTATGAATGCAATTTACGTTTAATTTAGTTAAGTTTATGTGCATATTTAGCATGTATAACAATTACATGGTTTGATTAGTTTCATGAATTCTGTGAATTTCCTTGTTAAACAAAACATTCTTATGACATCATTGGATGTCAACAATAAAAACCAATACATCATAAAAAACCTATGTAAATATTATAGGAATACTATCAATCTATCTTAAATCAAAACAAGAAAAGAGACCTGTCATTGAAGAAATTTTTTGTAAGTACTGCGTTTCCGAATTCAGCATTTCTTGTTTTTCTAAAGTTTTTATTGCATTTATCTCCTCCATTATTGGTTGAATATCACCATCACAGTTATCTGAAATAGAGCAATATTTTATAAAAAATATCTGTTTAGTTAATTACAGAAAATTAAAACGAAAGTATCAAAATTATAATACAAAACTAACCTAAAAAAGATACAACTTTATCTAATCGTTGTAATTTCTCCATGAAATTTTTATTTAATTCAGTTTTCACTTCAGTAAACTTGTCAATCATGATGGAAAGAAGTTTCCTCGATGAACTTTTTATCGGCTTCGACATAATTTTTAACCAAAAACACAAGTTCAAATTCGCAAAAACAACAAAATTCAATATTCTTGAATTGTCTAACGTAGTGTCAAACTGACAGTTCTATGTTGTTGCCATATGAAAACGGAAAAATAGGTGGTGTCTATTCTTCCCCTAATCCGGTTAGGAGGTAGCATATTTTATCATTTTCCTCTATCTTTTCCTCACAAGCTTCTAATTCTCTTATTGTATTTTCGAATTTAGCAAAGTACTCTTCGAGCCTCGTGGCTGGATCATGTTTTAAAGTGAGTATTTTTCTTCTTAATGTTATTTTTGATATTACACTTTTTCTTTGAAATGTACTTTTTAAAGTATCTAGCATTTCTTTTGCCGACTGGCTGTCCTTCACCAAATTTAAATGTCGGTCAGTCAAGCATTGCACGATCAAACTTCTGGCTTTCGCATCAAGAATTTTATTGCTTTCATCTACTTTCTGCTCTTCGGTTATTTCTTTTAATCCCCTTTCCTCCAATAAACATTTCAGTCTGAAGTACCAATTGCCGAATGACTCGGCTTTTAGTTGCGGAATATTAACCGTATTAACCGACGTGGTCGCCATTTTTTTGTCATGAACGACGCGCTCGGAAAACGTATTATCACAAACTTTCTTATACTGTTTCCTAACTATGAAAACTATTAGGCATCTGGGCCCATAACCTATGAAAACTTATATGAAAAGGAAATTGAGAGCTACGACTGATTTTGTAATCATTTATTAATAAAAAATACATACCGAGCACATGCTACCAAAACCACAGAGCAGAGAGAGAGTCATAGAGAAAACCTACACGGTTACATAGATCACAGATTATATAAATCCTAACAGATGTTAATTTATGATTTTGTTTCAAATGTGTTACCAGTGGAACGCTCGTGAACCAATTATCTATTTATTTATTTTATATATTTCATTCGGAAAACTTACAGCTATAAGACATGTTATTAACAACGAACTAATATTATATAAAGCCATAAACAAGTTTTCACAAATAGCCAACCAATGAGAGAAAGTTATACTACTTATACTTATTATAAAAAATGCTAAAACATTAATTTTCATCACAGATTTTTCTTTTCTTTTTAAGTAAAATTCGACTTCGCTAATAAGCGCATCATAAATAATGGTTTCACGTTGAAAATGTCCACATTAGGGAAATCTTTTAACATTTTATTAACTTTAGTACTGGCTCTACAGACAAATGAATTTTTCCTGTAGTTGGTCTTATAGCTAGGGACATGAAAATAATTATACTGGCGTAATTGCTTACAAGGAGTACATATACCAAATTCCTCCAACATAAATAATGTCAGCTATATCTCTGCGTGCTTGGAAGGAAAGAAAGTGAAACTTAACACACCTTGCTTCATTGATAGGCAGAAAAAGTTTGCATTTAAATTGCAAATATCTTAAAAATTTTCTTTGAATAGACTCAATTCTTTTAATATACACATCGTACTGGGGATTCCAAATTTCTGAAGCATATTCCAGGATACTACGCACGAACGAACAGTACAACACTCTTAGCGTTTTAAGCTGGGTAAACTTGACAGATGACCTAATAACAAATTCAAGTGCTTTTGAAACCCGCCTTACAATGTTATCTATGTGTTCATCAAACAATAATTTTGAATCAATCAAAACACCAAGGTCTTTCATTTTACAACTTGAAGCCAATATTTTATTTTGGATCATATAATTAAATTTTATTGGCTGCGCTTTGCGAGTGATACTCATAGACTTGGATACATTCAGATCAAGCTTATTTAAGAAACAATAATTATAAAATTTATCGAAGTCCTCTTGAAGAAGTGAAACGACTTGCTTAAATATTTTACAAGGGGGCATTCCCTACTCGTCAACACCGATTTCGCTCAAGTTTAAAGGACATATAGGACTAGGTTAGAGATAAAATTACCTAAACTCCAGATGGCCAAATATTTAGAAAAAAAAATTTTTTTCGCGACTTTTTCACCATATAAGCTATAAATATTGACAAGTTTACCAACCAGCAGCTGGCGTAGCGGTAAGAGCTCCGACTAGTAATCTCATGGTCGTGAGTTCGATTCCGCATGGGGAGACTGTTTTTTATTTTTCTATTATTTTTTTTTAATTATATTTTCCTCAATTGAGGCGTATAGAAGCAAATCCCACTAAAACGATTTTAACTGTTTTGTCTTAAATTCAAAAAAACTGTTGAGACATATTTGACTAAAGAAAATAACTTGAATTTACTTTTCGAATCATCGTAAGAGGAGAGGCATACATAACCTAGAGACGCGTAAGTTATAAAATACTCAAATAAAAAGTAATAGATAAAAATAAATTCACTTTAGCGGGTCTTGCAACTAACCTGCCATTATATAGGGTTTTGCTATGGACAGATGACGTTTTAGCGGATTTTGCAATGAAAATAATTAATGTCATTTTTGTATTATGGATAGTATTATGCAATAAAATTTTGTGCAAATTCTAAGAACTAGTGAATAAAAACACATGGCCAAGAGTTTTATTACAAAAAAGTCCAAATGATCAAATCAGCGCAAATAAATCTAGAAATTTAAAACTTAAATGCTAATGATGGTACAACATTAAACCAACATTTACACCGAACCAATTTCCCCAAATCCACTCGTACACAGATCATATGCATCTTCTGAATCTCCATCATCCTCGTACATAATGTCATCGTCCTGTGTCTGAGCTCTCTCTAGAATGGATTTGTAATAGTTTAACGTATCAATTTCCACCCAGTTGTCGTCGAATTGGTTCTTCAACAACTTAACAACGTCTTGTAGTTTGGCTCGTTTCGGTAAAATTTTGTTTGGTTCAATCAGCCCAGGTTGTATCATAGTAATTTTTTTATTTTTTCTTGTAATTACTTTCTTTTCATTAATTTCACTATTGTAATGTATCTCGCCTTGTACCAAAATATTGTTTGTCTTTGTCCTGGTCAAAAAAAAATCGTTAACTTTTCATGAATGGAAAATGCCAACTGGTTGTTGGTTTTATTATTGTTTCATAACCTTTTTCCAGTCGTAAACTGGAATTGATGCGAGACTTATGCACGTCGCATTTTCTTCCAATACAGATACGTAATTTAAAGGTGAAGTTATGACCTGAGTCTTAAGAGTCTTCTCAATTTTCGCGAAAACCCGATGAGAAGGAATAAATGAGCGGCCGACGACAGGGAATATTAATTCCACTTTTTTGACATGTCTTGGAGCATTTGAGTAAAGCCACTTTCCTAGCATAGCAATCATCCCGGTGTTTTTATTCTGACCGGAACACCCATCAGAAATTACTCTCAAAATCTTGTCTTCTTCATTTAATGTTAGTTGCTGTAAGAAATTATAGACTGCGCTTATGATTTCATTACTTCCCTTAGCATGCGTAGTTTCATCCCAATAGTATGATCGTACATTTTCTTTCGTAAGTTTCGCCTTTGAATTACCCAATACTATAGAAAAATTATAAAAGCTAAATTGCCGGCTATAATATGCTGCCTGGTCAGGCAATTTTGGTAAATCCTGGTTTTTTTGACAGTCAAACGTGATTGTTTGAACGTGTTCACTCTCATTTTGAATAATTTTGTAAAATGCTTTATATTTCAGACGATGGATTCTTTTCTCAATCATCAATTCGTTTCTTTTAGATGTATCGGTTTCGGATTTTAAACGTTCATCTATTGAAATGCATGTTGAGCACACGTCCGTTCTAGGAGAACCAAAACCTATATTATATTGTGTGTTAAAAATTTTCCTAAAGAAACTTTGCTTCACACGAAGGTCGGGTTCGCGAGCCTGATTGTAAAGGCGCCCATCTTACAAATGTTTAATTCCGGAGAGAGATACAATCTGTTTATATTTTTTTGATCTGCAATAGTGACTTTCTTGCCGCTTAAACGATTCTATAAACAATTAACAGAAATTCTCTTTGCTTCAAATGCCACACTCAGTCGGTCACCTCCTCTATTTTCTGCAGGTATCGCACCACCACTATTGTAGAATCTGTTCAAGACACCTTGAATACGGTCTTTTTTAATTAAAAGTACCCCCGTAAATGTTTTCTGACAAACAGGAACATTTTTTCCGTCTTTTCCGAGAATGCTGTATTTTATCGCTTTTTGTTTTTTACTGTTAGCTTTGCTCGATTTAGCTTTTACAGAACAGTATTTTAGCAAAAAAATATCTTGTATTATTTTATTTTGGTATTGGTAAAAAATTCTATGAAATTTACTAATATCCTGACGTGTCAGTGTACTACAGCGAAACGCATTTTGATTGTGATTACACTCGAGGAATTGAGGTAATCCAGGAGCCATGTGCCTGAAAAAAAACAATGTAATTAATATTTTAAACATAAACATAAAAAACATAAAATAAATATATTTTCAAAAACTAGTGACAAAACAAGCTTTTATTATACTTACATATAAATTATGTAAGTAATGGACCTAAGAGAAATAATAGTTTGATATGATATAAATAAAATTTGGATGTTTTTATTTGGTTGCATGGGAGCACCCTTAAATATTTATTTTATTCTGTGTTTGTTGTTGTAGCGGCAACAGAAATACATTATCTGTGAAAATTTCAACTCTAGCTATCACGGTTCATGAGATATAGCCTGGTGACAGACAGACAGTGCCGGTTTTAGCACTACTGGCGCCCTGGGCGAAATTTCTTCGGCGCCCCCTAACAGCAATTCAATTACTACTACATACTACAAATCAGTTACTTGTCTTTTTTTCGCCAACCCGGCCTACTTACTTGTAATTTTCCCTAAATTTAGGTAGATTGTTAAGTTGGCAGCATTAGAATGGAACGTAGTGTTCAATCGGTTTAATTTCTCGGGAATCCCCGACTTTCCGACCATACAGAAACAATGTGTTTTTCTATAATCGGGATTCCCGAGATCTATCTCTTTTAATTTTTGACGAAGCAGAACACAATCAACAATCATCTTCATGCTTGACAGAGGTGGACGCTCTTAAAACAATTATTGATTATTTAAAACAAACAAACACAGTAATCAAACGTTTAACGCTACGTTACGATGCTCTTGTTCCAACTATAGAGTGACATTAGTTTTATTTAAAAAATAGACATATAAATAGTGTATAAGTAGCTGTTTCATTTTTGACGGATCACATCATTAGAGTAAGTACAGATTAATTTTTGCTATCTATACTACACATTCCCTAATACTTAAGTATATACGATGTTAAAATAACAGGTTAATTATTGAAATTGGGTCCAGACTCTTTACCCTTGTAACACCTTAACAGGGTGTCACATAATTGTTATGTATAACTTTGTGTAATTGTTGTAACTTTGTGACAGTGAGTTTGCAGTGGGCCACTTCTTATTATATGATCAATTATTTTGCTATTTCGAATAAGTGAGCTGGATCCGCTATATTCGGGACAACAGTATCAACATCATCTAGTACATGTATTTGTTGTACATCAATAACAGATTTATCCTGATCAGCATCTGTAATCGTAGCACTACTTGCTCCCTCACTTCGGGATTTTTCATCCACAATCTCTTGAGTAGCTATTCCATCTGACTTGCCAGACAGAGGCTCTACTGCCGATGCATTCATTTGTATAGCAGTATTTTAGCTTCAGCTTAACGTTTAAACATGCTCAAACGAAAATTTTCTTAAATGACCGAGCGATAATGCCCGCCAATGTACGTCATCTTACCTAATAAAATACATATCTTCATATTGGTAATCGGTATGTTGTTCTGTTTTGCCATAATATAATATTTTTCTTGTTAAGTTTCCTTTGAATTCATGCTGAAAGTGAGGCAACTTGAAAACAAAAAAACATCCTCATGGTTCTTGTCTTTTTTCGCCGACCCAGTAGGCCTTGTTCAATGAGCGAGAGAACTATATATATATATATATATAATCTTTGTCCGTGGGAAATGAGTAAGTATTAGAAAAAAAACATTAGTTCCCGAAATCAAACTAGATGTCGCTACGGTACGTTCTTGATTTATCCATGACAACCCTTTCAGTTTCTTTCATTTTTAAAAGTAAATTAGTTTTCAAAATTCAATTAACAACTAATATTCTATTTGTACTTTTTCGTATTTGTATTATTATCTAAGTGTCGAACATTTAAAATTTCAGTTTTTTAATATGTTACTTAAAAGGAATGGAAATGACTGTCTTTGTTCCATTCGTTTCCTGCAAAAATCAACTTTTGCTAGAGTCGACGTCTAGTGGAGGTACTTTTGTAGTGCTTTCATTTTTTTAAATATTTCCTCATTGTACAGAATCAGAAAGAAGCGCCGAACGAAAAAAGGGCGCTCGCGCGCCTGTCGGCGCCCCTTTTGGTTCGGCGCCCCTGGGCGGTCGCCCAACCGCGCCCTACCCTAACGCCGCTACTGCAGACAGACGGACAGTTAAGTCTCAGTAATAGGGTCCCGTTTTTACCCTTTGGGTAAGGAATCCTAAAAAGAAAAACTATTAAACCTATTAACACGTTTTAATAACATTTTATCAGCCATCAAAATAAACCAAAAAGTATTTCAATCTGTGACATCCCTGCCTGTCATTTAACTTCTTGCAGCGTGTTGCATGATACCTTTTTTCCACCTTTTACGTTAGTTTATAGGTAACTTTTTACTCACCTTTTTTTCCGAGCTCGTTCCCGCTTCCACGAATCTTTATTACTTGGTCGTTTCCTTGAGTGTTTATAGTCACATTTTGTCACTAACTTCATCAATTCATCCATTATCTTTTTTTTAATTATTAAAAACGTGATCATACTTCGTCACTTGTTGACACAAAACTCCCTTGGTCGCCATACTGTTTTCCCAGTCACGCCATACGAACCATGCGCTCTGTTTGGTCAATTCTGTTATAGCGGATTTTGAAACTTACCCGTGCCGTTTTAGCGGATTTTGATACCAAGCTTAGTCTTGAAGGCTTAATTTAGAACTCTTACAGAGGAAATTGCTACAAAATGAAATGATCAGTTGGTAGAGAATTACAGTAGCTTTACAGTGGCAATATTTAAAATGATTGTATGAAAAACCGTTTTAGTGGGTTTTGCTTCTAGACGCCTCAGTTAAACAAAGAAGTGAATAATTTATTTATTTATACGTAAAAGGCACAGGAAAGGTAAAATATACGGGATTGCAAACTATTTAATATGGGATTGTAATTGAAGCGCATACAAATATCTATACATATAAATGAAAATTAAAAACTTTATTCGTTAACATTCGATTTACATGTGTCAGGATGATATTTATCGTAAGAACATGAAAAACAATAATTATTACTAAATCTCGCACACGTTATAAACGACGCATTTTTACAGTCACATCGTTGTTTCAACGTCTCCATAAAAAAACATACTTGGTTTACATTCATAAAGCAATCTCTCTCATCGGAAAGTTTACAAGCGAACCACGCGTAACGTAATATGTTTCCGAATATTGGTGCGGATAATTGATGATCAACACACGAATGTATTTTTATGCAGACTTCTCGGGAAGTTATTTCTCTTTTTAGTTCAATAAGATAAGAGCAATTTCGAATTTATTGATAATCAGCAACAAAACAAAAATAAACCTAGTCCGCACAGTTGTCTTCTCCATATTTCTATATGGTGCCGAGACCTGGACTATTAAGGCGACTGATAGACAGAGAATCGAATATACATCGCAGGGCTGCACCAGTGGAGTACATTAAGGGGGAATTACTTTGATGTAACACGTTGGCAGTCCTTCTTCATCTTGGAAGACTTCGTCGTATAATTGCGGATTTGTTTGTCCTCCCCACGAGTCAATTATTAGAAGAAATTTGTTTTCTTGTATGACCCATGAATCGGAGGCTTTGAATTCCAACTGTGGAAATTGACTGGCAGCAGCAAGTGCCCATTGTTGCAAGTTTTTCGTGGTGACTTGCTGGTTACAATGTCGCGATTTACGAAGCGATCATACGTCCACGAATCAATTATATTATATTTATCCTTTCGAGTTCCACCGCTTTTTATATGTTCTTCCCAAATTTTCAAATCTCGCATATACTTCATACTCATACTCATAACGGGCTCCACGTACACTGATACAACTAGAAAGTTTTTAACCCCAAGAGTAATCTTGAGAACGGCCAGATTGGGGGTCGAGTATTGAGGCATTACTTAAGTAAGACTTTCAGCCTAATACTCCAGTTTTATTTAACAAATATATAGCCGCTTTAACGTTTCTGTCATCCACTGGCATGGCCTGGTAGATGGTGATACCAGCAAGACTCCTCACCCGGATGTTATTGCCTATATATGGCTCCGTTACAAGAGCGAAGTGGCAGTTCCCACGGTGAAAGGCCCTGCACAGCTCATCTGTGCCTGACCGGTAATGGCCTATGTTTGCCTGAATAAAGCCAAGTTGGGATGTGTTGTTGTCAGATCTACAATTATTTCTGTTAATCGACGCCGTAATCAATCTTACTGATGATTTTATCCCGCATTGTTTGTAAACAGAGGCATTCTTGCTGGTGGAAGGGGGAGTGTTTAGTGTTGCGTTTGGTCTTGGCTTTAGAGACCGCATTGTAATTTCGGCAATTAATACATTTAGGTGGCGCTGTGGCCACCGGGCATTTGTCCCTAGCATGGTCTGTTTTGCAGCAGTGCGAGCACATAGGAGGAGCCGTACATCTTTTCTGAGTGTGTCCGAATTGAGCGCACTTTTTGCACTGTCTAAATGGGGAGAATTCGTTGTATTGGACTCTCTGATAGCCCACTCTAATCCTGGAAATAGATATCAACAGCTGCCATGCTCCCGGTGAAACCTCGATCATTGCATTGTACAGAAATAAGCTTGTCTGTATTGTAATCGATAGGGACAGTACGAAGTTCCCTTTCAAAAGGACTGATGTATGGTTGTGGTGGCTTATCCTTGTTGGTTTTCGTTCCGCGCGTCTTTTTGGAAGCTGTCGTAGTCGCTTGGCTACTAGAGCCGGGTGACATTTGCGATGCACCGGGGAGTGGCGCGATTGTTGTTGTTGGTGCGGCTGCAGTAAGTGGTTCTGCCGCGATGTTGGTGGCCTGCTCAGTGACAGGCCCAGTAATTGTAACGCCGTCCTTCTTCATCTTGGAAGATTTCGTCGTATAATTGCGGATTTGTTTGTCCTCCCCACGAGTCAATTATTAGAAGAAATTTGTTTTCTTGTACGAACGGTTTCATCACATCAGTTAAAAATTTTGTATACAACAGTGTTGTAAGTTTTCCAGATTTTAAAGAAGTGATGATGATATTTTTGTACTTTGCTGCATATTCATCTACCACTTTTTGAACTCTTGATCCGAAAGAGCCAGTATTCTCTTGTTAGCATACGTATACTTTTGACAATAGCTTTCCGGAAAGGCTCACAGCATATTGCGCTGTATATGAGTGGGTTATTTTGTTTATATCCTTTCTTTGTACAAATACTGTTTTCGATCCTTTGTGGTCCAGGGTTCGGTTATACGTTGACTGGTATTGGCAACCTGGAAAAAGAATTTACAAATGTAAATTTATTATACGCGTCGTTAAATAGAGTATATCATTTGAGGGTAGATAAATAAGAGTTCTTGAATTACCTGTTTGATCAGTGTTGATAACAAAATACTTATCGTATTGAGGAATGAGAAATCGGGTTTGGAGTCGAAATTTATCTGCCGCAGCAAGGATTTCCTCTTGCGTAGCTGTCTCTTTTTCTGACACATACTTTGTAATTTTTCTCTGACGAATCTTATGTCTTCGTTTAAAGTCGATGACCCATGACTCGGAGGCTTTGAATTCCAACTGTGGAAATTGACTGGCAGCAGCAAGTGCCCATTGTTGCAAGTTTTTCGTGGTGACTTGCTGGTTACAATTTCGCGATTTACGAAGCGATCATACGTCCACGAATCAATTATATTATATTTATCCTTTCGAGTTCCACCGCTTTTTATATGTTCTTCCCAAATTTTCAAATCTCGCATATACTTCATACTCATACTCATAACGGGCTCCACGTACACTGATACAACTAGAAAGTTTTTAACCCCAAGAGTAATCTTGAGAACGGCCAGATTGGGGGTCGAGTATTGAGGCATTACTTAAGTAAGACTTTCAGCCTAATACTCCAGTTTTATTTAACAAATATATAGCCGCTTTAACGTTTCTGTCATCCACTGGCATGGCCTGGTAGATGGTGATACCAGCAAGACTCCTCACCCGGATGTTATTGCCTATATATGGCTCCGTTACAAGAGCGAAGTGGCAGTTCCCACGGTGAAAGGCCCTGCACAGCTCATCTGTGCCTGACCGGTAATGGCCTATGTTTGCCTGAATAAAGCCAAGTTGGGATGTGTTGTTGTCAGATCTACAATTATTTCTGTTAATCGACGCCGTAATCAATCTTACTGATGATTTTATCCCGCATTGTTTGTAAACAGAGGCATTCTTGCTGGTGGAAGGGGGAGTGTTTAGTGTTGCGTTTGGTCTTGGCTTTAGAGACCGCATTGTAATTTCGGCAATTAATACATTTAGGTGGCGCTGTGGCCACCGGGCATTTGTCCCTAGCATGGTCTGTTTTGCAGCAGTGCGAGCACATAGGAGGAGCCGTACATCTTTTCTGAGTGTGTCCGAATTGAGCGCACTTTTTGCACTGTCTAAATGGGGAGAATTCGTTGTATTGGACTCTCTGATAGCCCACTCTAATCCTGGAAATAGATATCAACAGCTGCCATGCTCCCGGTGAAACCTCGATCATTGCATTGTACAGAAATAAGCTTGTCTGTATTGTAATCGATAGGGACAGTACGAAGTTCCCTTTCAAAAGGACTGATGTATGGTTGTGGTGGCTTATCCTTGTTGGTTTTCGTTCCGCGCGTCTTTTTGGAAGCTGTCGTAGTCGCTTGGCTACTAGAGCCGGGTGACATTTGCGATGCACCGGGGAGTGGCGCGATTGTTGTTGTTGGTGCGGCTGCAGTAAGTGGTTCTGCCGCGATGTTGGTGGCCTGCTCAGTGACAGGCCCAGTAATTGTAACGCCGTCCTTCTTCATCTTGGAAGATTTCGTCGTATAATTGCGGATTTGTTTGTCCTCCCCACGAGTCAATTATTAGAAGAAATTTGTTTTCTTGTACGAACGGTTTCATCACATCAGTTAAAAATTTTGTATACAACAGTGTTGTAAGTTTTCCAGATTTTAAAGAAGTGATGATGATATTTTTGTACTTTGCTGCATATTCATCTACCACTTTTTGAACTCTTGATCCGAAAGAGCCAGTATTCTCTTGTTAGCATACGTATACTTTTGACAATAGCTTTCCGGAAAGGCTCACAGCATATTGCGCTGTATATGAGTGGGTTATTTTGTTTATATCCTTTCTTTGTACAAATACTGTTTTCGATCCTTTGTGGTCCAGGGTTCGGTTATACGTTGACTGGTATTGGCAACCTGGAAAAAGAATTTACAAATGTAAATTTATTATACGCGTCGTTAAATAGAGTATATCATTTGAGGGTAGATAAATAAGAGTTCTTGAATTACCTGTTTGATCAGTGTTGATAACAAAATACTTATCGTATTGAGGAATGAGAAATCGGGTTTGGAGTCGAAATTTATCTGCCGCAGCAAGGATTTCCTCTTGCGTAGCTGTCTCTTTTTCTGACACATACTTTGTAATTTTTCTCTGACGAATCTTATGTCTTCGTTTAAAGTCGATGACCCATGACTCGGAGGCTTTGAATTCCAACTGTGGAAATTGACTGGCAGCAGCAAGTGCCCATTGTTGCAAGTTTTTCGTGGTGACTTGCTGGTTACAATTTCGCGATTTACGAAGCGATCATACGTCCACGAATCAATTATATTATATTTATCCTTTCGAGTTCCACCGCTTTTTATATGTTCTTCCCAAATTTTCAAATCTCGCATATACTTCATACTCATACTCATAACGGGCTCCACGTACACTGATACAACTAGAAAGTTTTTAACCCCAAGAGTAATCTTGAGAACGGCCAGATTGGGGGTCGAGTATTGAGGCATTACTTAAGTAAGACTTTCAGCCTAATACTCCAGTTTTATTTAACAAATATATAGCCGCTTTAACGTTTCTGTCATCCACTGGCATGGCCTGGTAGATGGTGATACCAGCAAGACTCCTCACCCGGATGTTATTGCCTATATATGGCTCCGTTACAAGAGCGAAGTGGCAGTTCCCACGGTGAAAGGCCCTGCACAGCTCATCTGTGCCTGACCGGTAATGGCCTATGTTTGCCTGAATAAAGCCAAGTTGGGATGTGTTGTTGTCAGATCTACAATTATTTCTGTTAATCGACGCCGTAATCAATCTTACTGATGATTTTATCCCGCATTGTTTGTAAACAGAGGCATTCTTGCTGGTGGAAGGGGGAGTGTTTAGTGTTGCGTTTGGTCTTGGCTTTAGAGACCGCATTGTAATTTCGGCAATTAATACATTTAGGTGGCGCTGTGGCCACCGGGCATTTGTCCCTAGCATGGTCTGTTTTGCAGCAGTGCGAGCACATAGGAGGAGCCGTACATCTTTTCTGAGTGTGTCCGAATTGAGCGCACTTTTTGCACTGTCTAAATGGGGAGAATTCGTTGTATTGGACTCTCTGATAGCCCACTCTAATCCTGGAAATAGATATCAACAGCTGCCATGCTCCCGGTGAAACCTCGATCATTGCATTGTACAGAAATAAGCTTGTCTGTATTGTAATCGATAGGGACAGTACGAAGTTCCCTTTCAAAAGGACTGATGTATGGTTGTGGTGGCTTATCCTTGTTGGTTTTCGTTCCGCGCGTCTTTTTGGAAGCTGTCGTAGTCGCTTGGCTACTAGAGCCGGGTGACATTTGCGATGCACCGGGGAGTGGCGCGATTGTTGTTGTTGGTGCGGCTGCAGTAAGTGGTTCTGCCGCGATGTTGGTGGCCTGCTCAGTGACAGGCCCAGTAATTGTAACGCCGTCCTTCTTCATCTTGGAAGATTTCGTCGTATAATTGCGGATTTGTTTGTCCTCCCCACGAGTCAATTATTAGAAGAAATTTGTTTTCTTGTACGAACGGTTTCATCACATCAGTTAAAAATTTTGTATACAACAGTGTTGTAAGTTTTCCAGATTTTAAAGAAGTGATGATGATATTTTTGTACTTTGCTGCATATTCATCTACCACTTTTTGAACTCTTGATCCGAAAGAGCCAGTATTCTCTTGTTAGCATACGTATACTTTTGACAATAGCTTTCCGGAAAGGCTCACAGCATATTGCGCTGTATATGAGTGGGTTATTTTGTTTATATCCTTTCTTTGTACAAATACTGTTTTCGATCCTTTGTGGTCCAGGGTTCGGTTATACGTTGACTGGTATTGGCAACCTGGAAAAAGAATTTACAAATGTAAATTTATTATACGCGTCGTTAAATAGAGTATATCATTTGAGGGTAGATAAATAAGAGTTCTTGAATTACCTGTTTGATCAGTGTTGATAACAAAATACTTATCGTATTGAGGAATGAGAAATCGGGTTTGGAGTCGAAATTTATCTGCCGCAGCAAGGATTTCCTCTTGCGTAGCTGTCTCTTTTTCTGACACATACTTTGTAATTTTTCTCTGACGAATCTTATGTCTTCGTTTAAAGTCGATGACCCATGACTCGGAGGCTTTGAATTCCAACTGTGGAAATTGACTGGCAGCAGCAAGTGCCCATTGTTGCAAGTTTTTCGTGGTGACTTGCTGGTTACAATTTCGCGATTTACGAAGCGATCATACGTCCACGAATCAATTATATTATATTTATCCTTTCGAGTTCCACCGCTTTTTATATGTTCTTCCCAAATTTTCAAATCTCGCATATACTTCATACTCATACTCATAACGGGCTCCACGTACACTGATACAACTAGAAAGTTTTTAACCCCAAGAGTAATCTTGAGAACGGCCAGATTGGGGGTCGAGTATTGAGGCATTACTTAAGTAAGACTTTCAGCCTAATACTCCAGTTTTATTTAACAAATATATAGCCGCTTTAACGTTTCTGTCATCCACTGGCATGGCCTGGTAGATGGTGATACCAGCAAGACTCCTCACCCGGATGTTATTGCCTATATATGGCTCCGTTACAAGAGCGAAGTGGCAGTTCCCACGGTGAAAGGCCCTGCACAGCTCATCTGTGCCTGACCGGTAATGGCCTATGTTTGCCTGAATAAAGCCAAGTTGGGATGTGTTGTTGTCAGATCTACAATTATTTCTGTTAATCGACGCCGTAATCAATCTTACTGATGATTTTATCCCGCATTGTTTGTAAACAGAGGCATTCTTGCTGGTGGAAGGGGGAGTGTTTAGTGTTGCGTTTGGTCTTGGCTTTAGAGACCGCATTGTAATTTCGGCAATTAATACATTTAGGTGGCGCTGTGGCCACCGGGCATTTGTCCCTAGCATGGTCTGTTTTGCAGCAGTGCGAGCACATAGGAGGAGCCGTACATCTTTTCTGAGTGTGTCCGAATTGAGCGCACTTTTTGCACTGTCTAAATGGGGAGAATTCGTTGTATTGGACTCTTTGATAGCCCACTCTAAAGGTTTGCTGTATACGGGACGTGTTTATTTCCTGTACGGGACGGGACGGGAATTTTGCAGTATTTTTTGTTAATGCATACGCACCGTGACAATAACTCGTAGCTAACGTGCTAGTGTTGTGAACAAGGTAAAATGGATTTTTCATTTGAAGAATTGGCTTTAATTGCTATTGCTTTAGATGACGAAGAAGCTACGGCCGTCAAGAGGAAAAGAAGATTTTCTGTACACCCTACATGGCAGAATAGAGAACAAGAAGGAGAATACCACACTCTCTACAAAGAACTTTTGGATGATGAGTCTCAATTTTACATGTATTTTCATTTGACAAAAGAATGTTTTGCTTTACTGGAAAATAAGCTAAACCTTTATTTACTTAAGAAAACCACTGTTATGAAAACAGCTATAACACCCCGAGAACGATTGGCTGTATATTTAAGGTAATAAACATATTTTTATTACTTTTTAGCTTTTGCTAGCTTTTTTTTCGCGGTAAAAAGTAGCCTATATCACTCTCCAGCCTCCCAACTATCTCCACACAAAAAATCATACCATAACGACGCTCCGTTGCGACGTGAAAGAAGGACAAACACATTTTCCCATTTATAATATTAGTAAGGAAGTAAGGATAGGTAAAATTAAAATATATCTTAAAATTATCTCAATCATTAGCTGTATTGTACTGGGAGAAATATAATTGTATTGACTCCGACGTTGATTGTTCAGAAGGCGAAGATGCTAAAATAACAGGAGTTGATGGTGCTGATGAAGGCGAAGGAGAAGACAAAATAATTTGTGTAGATGACGAAGACGTTAGATTTTCAGTTAAATGTTGAAGCTCTAAATCGTGGATCACTTTAAAAATCTGCCCTTTTGCCAAATGTTGGAAATACAGAGAAAATGATTTTAAAGTAGGTGCAAGTCCTTTTAAAAATGCGTCGATAGGATGTTATTCCTCTTGTTCTGTATTTTTATTTTTATTTAGCACATATTTCATTAGAGCAGCTGAAGCAGATTCAGAACCAGGGGCAGAAATCTTGTTAATGTTTGCTTGTAGATGGTTGGGGTGATTGATGTCTATTAAAATTGTTCAGAAGAAACGAAGTTGAACGTTTGAATAACTTTGTGTTGTTGAGTCCTCTAAGTTTTGTGGCAGGTTTTCATTAAGAAAAGCTTCGTTCGACTGAATTGATATTCAATATGAAAGTGTTAACGTTCGTTCTTCAGTCGCTGATGTAACTGCGTTTTCAGATTCAGGTGTAGTAGTGACTGGGCTGGTGCAGTTAAAACCACGTTTACTCTCGAATCAGTTGGGTTTGGTCTGTCTGTGACAAATGACGGGGCAAAATCTACATCTTGAAATAAATTACGATTGAAGGGGTAAATTCTTGTTTTTCGAAACCCAGCCTGAATATTTAACTGTGAGGAAGCAAGTGGTATTCCAGTTTTAATTATTCCAGGGATGTCATAAATGTTTTGCCAGGATTATTGCGCTTCCAAGCATCATAGGAGGCGTTTATGGCTTTTTTTAAATGGTCCAAAACCTGATCTGTCCAAAGGTTGCAATTTGTGGGAGTAATGGGGAGGAAATGAAAGTAAAATGATAACCAATTTTCTTTGCAAAAGTCTAGAGAATCAATTTGGATGTGGGAAGAATGTTTGTCGAGAACAAGCAGTACCTTATGTGTAGTAGAGGCATTCGAATGCTTCTTAAAATGTTTAAGAAATTCGACGAATAAATCATTTTGGATTGGCGGTTCCAATTGAACCCTCTGGGCCATCACTTATAAAATGATCTTGGTATCGAACCCGTGGGAACACAAACATCGGGAGAGAAGCTTTGCCCAAGGCGTTTACAGCAAAGACTAATGTGACTAAAGTGCTACGTTCAGCAGATATTACTGCTCCGACCTGTCGTGTTCCACGCTTTGCCACGACTCTGTCAGACTTCTCTACAATCGTTACGCCGCACTATGGGCCAGAACCGTGCGTAGAGTCTCAAAAATCTGTAACTTTTTTGTTGATTGAAATAAATAACTAAAATTTGGCACGGAGTATCTTCAATGTATGTACTATCCATTAATGAAACATTATATATTTATTGTTTAATTATTAATTAATATTTAAAAAAGAAATAAAGAATATAAAGTCATTTTTAACAGAATTAGTTTGCTTAACTTATTGAATTATTACAGTTTTATGATAATCATTATAGATAACACATATATTATATATTTTTTATTGCATGCAAATCTAACATTTTAATAAATAATTAATAGATTGCTATATACACTGCAAAAAATATTTTTTCAAGTAATGTAAGAAAATGTATATTTAAGTATATTTATTATATTTAAATATCAACTCCTTAGAGATAGTGACTATGGTTTTCTGATACTTGATATATATGGATGTGACATTAATAGAAGACCGTGAAATACGTCTTCATTCGTTGCGGACTTTTCTTGCGTGATATAATCTCATTTTTTTTTGTAATATTATTTCGAGATTCGTGGGCATCCACAGATAAGTTACCGATAGGCAGAACAGCAAAATTTCTAATTATACTTTCTCGGTGTATTAAGATTTTATGCACTGAAGAAGGCATATTATACCACACATATTTTGTTACGTACAGTTGCGCGGTTGCGCGAGTGTATTGACCAAATTGTTGCGCGACTGTATTTAACGAGCTGTATTGCCATCATTGCTGTTTCCACTTCCTTGTCGGGGTTTATCAATGTGCAATCCCATTCGGCTTTGAAATTACTTTGCACAAGCTTTTCTTGTCTTCTTTACTTTTTTTATCTTCAGGAGTTCTCGCAGCCCATTTTTGAAATTAAAGATTAAATGAAACATGTAAAATTAACTCCATGCATCCGATCCACGCATGCAAACGTAGACAATCCGTATTCGTTAGCATTTATATTATCTGACTTTGATTCAATCTTCTCCAAATTATTCATTTCACTAGGTTTAGCCCCGCACACTGTACACATAGCTCCAGAACTCGTGTCAGTTAGAACTTGTGTACAAATAGCGGCAAAGATTTAGTCACCTCTGAAGTTGCTTCGCGCCAGTTTGCGCAAGTGTATAGTCAGGCGCATGACCGCTTGAAGTAGTTTGACGTCTATGAAGACCAATACTTTATATCCATTTTATATAGAAATTATTACTCCTAATGATGTAATAAATTGCCAAGTGCGAGTGATTCGCTAGCAAAGGGTTCGTTATTCATACATTATGGTGTATAATAAATTAATAACAATTATTCAATTTTATTTACTTAATTCTTTATTTATTAATTAAATTATAATTACAACGGTCTTACACCTGCAATAAAATTTGATATAGATGTGGATGTGCTACAACAAGGTTGGACATTATCCTCATCATCACTGGATTCTTGGGTGGAGTCCGTTTCGTCTCCTGTCTCCTTCTCACTTTCTTATTCGGACTCACTGTCGCTTAACCTAATGACAATTTCATCAGTTAAGGTGTCTATGACGTGGTCCCTTTTTTTGTACCCTTCCTCAATCTTTTTTACTTTAGCACACAAAGCCATCCACTCAGATTCACCCATCATGTCGCATTTTTCTTGCACAAGCTCCATAACTCTGTTTACGTTCCAATTGACATTTTTCTGTGCAACATGTCCTTTTATAGCTGCCCACGCCATTTCTATTGGATTCAAGTCTGGGTGGTAGGGTAGAAGCCGTAAAACCTTGTGGTTGTTTTCTCCAAGAATGCGATCGATGGAAAACTTTTTATTTCTCTCTTTATTTTTTTCTATCAGTTTGTAAAGTTGGGGTTTAAGCATTTCTGGACTGAAACCGATGTCTTTTTCTCGAAGCCATGACTGCATATCAGATTTTCTCGAGTTTGAAGTTGGTCAGCGATGTTTCTGCTTGTTGTGATAGGATGCATTATCAACTACCACAACAGACCTGGGAGGAAGATTTGGTATCAGTTGCGTTCGTAGCCATTTCTCATAATTTTCAAAATTCATATTGTCATGATAAACCCCACTCTTCGTCCCTGCTTGGAACATTAGAAGGGCATTCGGTATAAAACCGGCATCTGGACCGGCATGTACAATGACAACTCGTTGTCCCTTCGAAATTTTCTTTTTTAGCCCTTCCTTTGAACCGTCACTCCAAGATTTAGAGCTGGAATGAGTAGAATCAACATACGACTCGTCAGTGTAGATGATTGGCCTTCCTTCCTCGCGATAACGTGAAATTTGCTGTAGAAACTCTATACGTTTCAAGCGAATATTGCTTTGTTCTATAAAAATTTTCCGGTTATCCTCTGTTTTCTTCCATTGGAATCACAAGCGTTTTAATATTCGTCGTAAACTTCTTTCAGAACCTTGGAAATCGATGTCTGTTTTTAATTTTCGTAGAAGTTTTTTCACTGTCGGCAACTCTTTTTCCGTATGATGAAAATTGTGCACACACCTTTTAATCACGCCTTCGTCAAAATTATCTATTCCAGTTATTCTTTTTTTGCTTGACCTTTTCTTGCCGGGGGTTCTAAATACTGATAGAAGATCAGATTTATTCGCTTCTTTAACAATTCTGTTTACCGTTCTTGTTGAAACTCCGGTACCTGCTGCAACTCTCTTCTGCACATATTTGATATGTATTTTAATACCTTCATCCGCTTCAGTCTGCATGAATGTCTTAACATTGTAAATAATTTTTCTTGCCTGCCTTCGTAAAACCGTATTCCGGTGGGACATTTTTAGTCTTTGTGATCATACGAAAACATAACAATAGTAACAATAACAAATTAACTTAACAAATGCCGAAATGCAAAAACTTAACAAATGCAATAAAAATAACACACGTAACAACGCAATGACAACGCGTAGCCGATTGTACTTCACGAGAGAAAACAGGCGTGTGTATGCTCTGAAAGAACGTTGTACGCACACTAGCGTAACTAAGCGGCTAGGCGGCGAGGAGGGAGGCGGGCTTCGCCGCCCGCTACCTTCTCTCGTCCCTCTGATACCTAAAATTGGCTACTGCGACGCGACTCACGCGATGTTCAGAGCTGACTAGATGTTTGCCGCTATCTGTAACTTTCCCATCTACCATGGTTAGGAAAAGCTCGTGACTTATTTCAATTACCTGTTCCTCTTTGTGTGTCTTTGAAGTTTGCAAATTATTAATTTGACTCCGAATATCACCAACTACTGATTGGGTTTTCTCAGGCGTTTCTTTAGCAAATTCCATCAAGATTGGTCGGCAATAACGAACAGAAGAACAAGCTGGATTTTTCCAAATAACCTCATTCGTTTCTGTGTCAGTAAGCTTTATTGGTACCAAAGACGCTATAAATGAGTTTGCATCTGAGAATAAGTCGCTCTCATCTGTCAAAACTTGTTTATATTCACTTTTTCCCGACGAACCATCACCTTCCCCACTTAGTAAGCAATTTGAGAGACTTTCTTGTTGGGTTGCAAATATTTTCAATCTTTAAGATGTGAGCAGAAGTGTGATCCAGTAGATACATCCACCATCTTGTAGATTTACTTTTGTATCGGTTATTTCGATATCTAATAGGAAAAAAAGAGGCGCAGATAATTTTTTATTTTGGCCTTGCGATCAACCTCATAACATGCTTTGCGCTGAGGTCCATAAGGTCCACACCACCCATATATTTATTAAAACGTATCACTATTTCCGGACATGTAACATTTATTTTTTGGGCAGTTTCTGCCTGCCTCCTCTTTACTGTGCTAGTTGGCACCGGAGATATGAAATTGGTCAACATATGGAGTGCTTTAGTATTCATCCATTTTACGAATGTTATACCGTTTATAATTACGGCATGGATGTCGCCTCTTTCCATGC